GATAGATAGATAGATAGATAGGTAGGTAGATAGGTAGGTAGGTAGATAGACAGGATAAATAGACAGATGAACTTACAGATAAGATGGACTGATGGATGGATGGGCAGGCAGATAGAAATATAGATAGAGAAATTAGAGAGATTGGATGAATAGATTAGACAGACATACCCAGAAATAATGTTCCATTTCTGCCCAGATATGTGGGATCCTCATTTGTGACATGGGAACTGGGGATCTTGGGTCACCCCAATCACTCCAGATGCTACAAAGCCCGTGACTTACTCAGTACAAAGCTAGGAACATGACCATCAGAAACAGGATCAGAGTCACTCTCAGGCAAAAACAAAACAAAACAACAACAACAACAACAAAATACCCTCCAAGGATTAAATGTTTTTTTCCCATTGTCCTGAGGAGAAATTAATTCAAGGGAGGTCCCAGGGCAGGGAATTCCCCACCACCATCACCACCACCATGGGCATATCATCACCCCTGCAGTTTTCTGATTTACTCTTTAGCTCATTAAGCATGAACTTTCTTATGCCAGGTTTCCTTCTGATAAGGAAGAAGAGATTAATACCTGTACATTTCATCTCCTCCTCCTGCCTGGTCTCTGTATTCCAATTAAACTATAATTTATGTGGAGGATTTACAATGTCTGACACACTTAGCTGAGCCTTCCGCACAGAGATACATTGAAAGCGAAGGCTAATTGGGTGAAAGGAGAAACGCCATAAGCCCACACTCTATGAGGTGGAGTAAAGATCTACCTTGCCCAACTCTTGCCTCACCTGCTCCGTGGTCTGAGTAATAGTTTGGGTCCCAGGACTTTGAGGTTGTGTGAAGCCTTCCAGCCCCATACCTGCAGGACAGTCTCTGTGCAGGGGGAGTTTCACCAATCTCCATAGGCTCACAGTCCTTCAGAAGCTCTCGGACTTCTTGCCGGCAGCGTTCCTGGTATTCTGGGTGCCTTGAAAGGTGGTATAAGATCCAGGAGAGACCACTGGCCGTGGTGTCATGGCCTGAGGGGCAGCCAAGCAAAACTGGGTTTCTGGGCTGCTTCAGCACCAGAGGGTGGACAGCACCCATAATTTCAGGCCCTGGAGAGAAGGTAGGGAGGGGGAGGATGGGCAGAATGGAGTGATCTAGGATCCACCCACCACGTCCCTGGGATGGAGAGTCCCCTGTCCCCACTGCAGTCCCACACTGAGACCCTCACCCCCAAACATGAAGGTATCAGCTTCTGCTCTTATGTCCTCATCAGACAACTCTCTCCAATCTTCATCCTGGAGAGAAGGTAAGACAATACCCACGCCCCACATCACACCAGCTCTGAGGGCTCTTGAGTCAAACCTAAAACAGTTACAGAAGATCCGTCCTCCTTCCAGAAACCCAAGCCCATCATGCACTCCTGGATGTCTCTTGGACACCACCATCAGAGCCCACCACCCACAGACAACCCCCTGGCTTCTTTGCCTCCTATGTGGCCCTGCTGGGAAGAGTCAGTGACCTATGGATATTTTCTTGTTTCTGGATAATGAGGACTTTTGCAGTAAAGCGTTACTGCAAGCTGGGTCACAGCATATTTCGATGGCAATTTGGCTTGGAGGTTAGAAGTCAAGTATTGCTCTGAGGATAGCTGCTCACATTCTAGACTGGTAAACCCAGTCCTTCTTAGCTTTCCAGAAGGCATCAGGGTCACAGACCTATAAACCCAGGGGCATGACCGTCTCCCTGGAGAGGAGTAGTTTTTACTCCAGAACCAAGCAAACATCTCTCTCTTTCCTCTCTCTCCCTCTCTGTCTCTCTCTCATTCTCCCTCTCACCCTGGAAGGAAGAAGGGGCAGATTGCTAGCTGTCCTATATAAGTTCCAAGATGTAATAATGGGGGGCCCCGCTCTGCTCTGCATTCTGGTGTATTTACAGGTAAATCACTGTGCTCCCCTAGGAGGAATATGGGAATGGAGAGCCAGCTCTACAGTCCTCCTCTGGTTGCTGCTACTGTTGTGAATGATTAACAGGCTGCTGTAACCCAGGGGTTTGGTGCATCTGTCATCACAGACATAGACAAAGACCTAGACATAGAAATATGCATAAAAAAGTGTCACTAATTTACTAAGATGTGAGTAAAGAAAATGTCAGGCTCCTCACTGTCTCAAACGTAGCAGTCTCCTGCTGCTGAATTCCACAGACATCTCTCAACCCTCTCTGTGACCTGTGTTTTTCAAGCGTGTTCCATGACTCCCAGTGCCCTCTGGATTGACTGCAGGCTCTTTCATTTGACATTGGCATAAATGTCCGCTCTGTTACTTGAACTCATATCCCAGAGAAGCCCACCTTGCTCAGCAGAAGCACATCAACGAAGTCTAAAGTCTTGGACTTTGCCTTGTCCTTGAGGAAGCCATCAGTACCCTGAGTGGGGAGGCTGCGGCGCCGCTCCTGGATGACGGCGTCTGTGAGGTCGTGCACCAGGCGGCAGGCCCTGCGGAAGCGCCGCCCATCCGGAGTCAGATAATACAGGAAGTCCGAGTGCAGGAGAATCTGCTGGTTTCTTTCTTCTACAAAGGCACTGAGTTCCAAGAAGGCGGTGATATAGTCACTGGGCTTCCTGCATGAAGGAGGTAACAACATATGCAAAGCCCCAGCAGCACCTCTCAGCAGCAGCTAGAAGCTACCGCCCATCAGGAAATTGAGCACCCAGAAACAGCCAGGAGCCTTGACTCTCCAAACTCTCTTCTCTCCAGGCACCCCATGTCTGAGAGCTGCCTCCATGCACCTAGGTACCCGGAGCACAGCTTGCACACCATGCTTTTCTCCTGTCCCTCACACCCGGTATCCAGTCTGGACTCTTCCTTCCAAAAACTGTTCACAAAACTCAGACCTCACTGTCTTCCACTCTTTGTGGCTCAGCCCCCACCATAACCGACTTGCATCCAATGTCGGCCCCATGTAGTGTCTACATGACAGGCAGACCTCCACAGAGCTCAGCTGTGACTGCACCTGTCATCGGCTCAGACCCCTTCAAAAGATTCCTGGGAAGCTCTTGATAAAGTTCATGCCACTTTTCCTGATTTTCAGTGTCCTGAAATCTAGCCCCGTCTACTTCCACCACCTCATTTCTACTGCCTGTTATGCATGCTTGCCTCATCCTAGCCTTCTTGCCTATATTCAGATATTTCTACCTACTTGAAAGGACCATGCTTCCTCTCTCCCCTTCCCCACCCTTCAAAGCCCAGCGGTGACACAGTTCCTTCAGGAAGGCACTTCTGGTTACCGTGGTCACTCGTCCCTTTCCAACCTACTCCCTTGAGATCGTGGCCCAAGTTCTCAGGCCCGAGAGAAGGACTCACTCCTGACAATTGCTATCAAAGCTGAAGACCCATTTCTGCAGACTGTTCAGGGTCATGAGGCTGATGTGCTCAAACATGTCCAGTCTGGTGTTGCCCTCTGAGGCCAGGCACTGCCACTTGCCCTGGCCAGAGAAAAAAAAACAGAGCTGAAGTTGGGAACTACCTCCTTAGAGCTCCTTCCCAGACCCAGACATCAAGATGGACAACCTGCAATCATCCTCCTGTTCCCCTGCCCCCGGAACCCATCCTCAGGGAGGACCAGCCTTGGATAGGAGCAGAGACTGTTACTATTAGGAGGTAAAGACTCCTGGCTGGGAGTCGAGAGACCTGGGATCAAGTCCCAGCTCAGCGTCCTGAGGGAAGGTGTTCTCTTTCCAGCGTCCACAAGGGGGCGTAGTTTTAAGAGCAAGACTTTCCCAGCGCCCTGGCCCCCTCTCATCTCTCTCCATCCGGGAGATTTAACGGTTTATGTTTGAATTTCACGGGTGCGGTAAGAAACTAAGAGTCAGTCACTCCAGTGGAAGTTCTAAGGAACTCCTTTCACTGGCCAGGGGTCTTGGAGAAGGTGGGGGTTCCTTCCAGGTTAAAAATCCCCTTCTTCCACACCCCCTCGACCTCCATATGCGGGTCTCCTTCCGTGAACACTCTGGTGGAAGCCATCTTTCTCTTTCCTGGATTTCCCCTCTGGGGTCCCCTTCCGCAGTCTCTCGTGGAAGCCTGTCTTCCCCTCCTAAACTCCACCTCTCTCTGTTCCCTTCCACTCAGTGTGGAAGCTGCCTTCCTCTCCTGGATCCCATCTTTGTGGATTCTCACTCGGCGTGAGACTTAGCTGCTTCTCTCTCTGTCCTCCTGTTTCTCTCTCTCTAAATAAATCACTTTCTACACTGAATCCGGCATTTACTGCGTGCTGTGCCGTGGTCGCCTCGCTCATTCTTGAGAGGGCAGGAGGCCAGGAACCTGGAGAAACGTCCTCTCAGGGAGCTGCGGGCACCCTGAACCCGTGAACCCCAATATTACATTTTGGAGAGCCAGCCAGGAGAGGGGTACAGCCAGGAAAGGGGTCGAGCCGGAGAAGACGTGAAAATCGTGAGTGAACCCGGCCCCATTCTGTGCTGTCTCCTTATGAACAGCGGAAGCGGCGCAGCCAGGCGGGGCAGCGGGACGGGGCGGCGGCGCCTCAGAGGCACCACGCCGCCCGAATTAAAAGCGCAGTTTCTTTACCTTCAGGCTCTCTCTGCTTTCCGTCTCCTTCTCTATCCTTCGGATATTATCTCTGGGACCGAAGCCTGAGGGAGCCTGTGGGACAGTGGGCGAGCACGGCCCGGGGCCCCAGGGGTGGAAGCGAGTGCGGTGGGCCGGGAAAACAGCGGGGAGGGGCGAGGTGCATCGGAGCCTGCGGGGGACGGAGCGCGGCGGCCTGGCGCTGGCTCTGGCAGGCCTCTCGGCGTCCCCCAGTCCCCGGCAGCAGGGTAAAAAGGCTCCGAGGGCGCTTGCCTGCCGGCCACGGGTCCCCGTGTGGGCAGGAGCTCGGGAAGTGGCCCAGACGTGCAAGTGGTTCTGACGGGGTCAATATGGTGACTGAACGCTGCAGGGGCTGGGGACTCAGTGGCCCAGCAGCCGCGAACACGGCTTTTAAACTGACGCGGCAAGCGGCTTTTTTCTTCTGCTGGCCTGCGGCTCTGAGCCAACGGAAGCGGCCGAAGTGGCTGCTGGCTGTCAGCCCCGCCCAGCTCTTAGGCAGGCCACACTGCCCCAGGGTGCAGCGTTCGCATTCACAATGTGGCTTAAGAAAGCTTTCTGGCCGGGCGCGGTGGCTCAAGCCTGTAATCCCAGCACTTTGGGAGGCCGAGGCGGGTGGATCACAAGGTCAAGAGATCGAGACCATCCTGGTCAACATGGTGAAACCCCGTCTCTACTAAAAATACAAAAAATTAGCTGGGCATGGTGGCACGTGCCTGTAATCCCAGCTACTCAGGAGGCTGAGGCAGGAGAATTGCCTGAACCCAGGAGGCGGAGGTTGCGGTGAGCCGAGATTGTGCCATTGCACTCCAGCCTGGGTAACATGAGTGAAACTCCGTCTCAAAAAAAAAAAAAAAAAAAAAAAAAAGAAAGCTTTCTGCCTTACCTACTGCAAGGGGCCTGTTGCACAGCTGGGTGAGGTGTAGGAGCTGCAAGGTTGCTGGTTCAAATCCCTGGTGGAGCCAGTCTTGTAATTGGTGAGACCTTCTGGGGAAATGCAGAAGCTGAAGGCTGTGGGACTTTGTGTCTGGCGTATAATTTGTCTTGCTTAGGATTGGCTCTCTCTGGCAGAACTTTTCCACCTGGAAGATCATAGTTAAACCGGTTCCAGGACCAAATGGTCAATGGCAGGTCTCACAATCTTAAGAGCATTTTCCTACAATGGAAAATGGGTTGGGGAAAGGAGGCCCCGGTCCTGAGGGTATTGTTCCGGCCTCAGCCACACCCCGCCTGCCTTCTTTGAGCTGTGCGTTCTAATGGCCCCTCCCTAGGAGTTTACCCTTCTGCGCAGTTTTATAACCTGGCTGGTGTAAATCGGACTTTTCCTGGGAAATATTGGTACCTATATCCTGAGCCTCACTGGCCTCCTTGGGGCTCCTTGGTACGTGACTACCCAACCCAACAGCTCCTCTCGTTCCATGCCTCTGTGGTATTCACTGGAGGTCACGCAGGCAGTTAGTGGTCCCATGGCGCCGGCAGGTCATGATTGGAATCCAGTACCTGGGAGCCCCTCTGATAAGATGGATCATGCATCTTGGGCACAAGAAATTTCGGGGTCCTGACTGAAAGACGTTTCGTTTCAGTACCTGTTTTACCTGGGGGACACCTCAGGTCAAAGCGGCTGTAATTTCTTTAACTGGGGATGCGGGCCTTGTGTTCAATTTCAGATGGGTGCTTCTATTCCCAAGCTCAAGTCTCCATTAAAATGTATGCTGGGCCGGCCGCAGTGGCTCAAGCCTGTAATCCCAGCACTTTGGGAGGCCGAGGTGGGTGGATCACGAGGTCAAGAGATCGAGGCCATCCTGGTCAACATGGTGAAACCCCGTCTCTACTACAAATACAAAAATTCAGCTGGGCATGGTGGCGCGTGCCTGTAATCCCAGCTACTCAGGAGGCTGAGGCAGGAGAACTACCTGAACCCAGGAGGCGGAGGTTGCAGTGAGCCAAGATCGCGCCATTGCACTCCAGCCTGGGTAACAAGAGCGAAACTCCGTCTCAAAAAAAAAAAAAAAAACTGTATGCTGGAAAATTGGGATCAATTTAGCACACAGTCTTTAAAGATGAAGTGGCTTCTTTTTCTCTGCCAAACAGCATGGCCAAATTACCTTCTGCCGAATGGAAAATCTAACCCCCAAAGGGGAGGGAAGAAAACCCAACAGTTTTCCTTGAGTGATTGTGGGAGGCTTAAGGAAGTACACCCCCTGTCACCGGACTCCATAGAGGGTCAGTTAATACTAAAAGACAAGTTTATTACTTATTCAGCAGCAAATATCAGGAGGAAGCTCCAGTAGCTGGGTTTGGGACCAGAGCAGAGCCTAGAATCATTACTGAACCAGGCAACCTTGGTGTTTTATAATACAGACCGGTAGGAACGGCTGAAAGAAATTCGAGATATCAGCCTTAGTCATGGCTTTCAGGCAAGCAGACCGTAGGGGCTCAAATGAGGGAAAGAGTTGGGTAAGCCGCTAGTGTGGAAGAACTTGTTACCAGTGCAGCCTGAAGGGACATTTTGTAAGAAATTGTCCCCAGAGGAATGGACCACCATCTTGTCCATGCCTGCTGTGCCAAGGGAATCACTGGAAAGCACACTCTACCAGGGGATGAAGGTTTCCAGGGCCTGAGATGTCTGACCAGATGACCCAATGGCAGGACTGAGGGTTCCTGGAGCAAGTAGCAGCCTGAGCTGTCACCCTCACAGAGCCCCAGGTAAAGCTGACCATAGAGGTCCAGGAAGTCAGTCTTCTCCTGGACACTGCATGGCCTTCTCAGTATTTCTCTCCTGCCATGGAGACTTGGTGCTTGTTAATTCTCTCCCCTCAGACCCTCCCTCTCGAGGCCCATCCTCGGAAGGACCATTTTCGGTCATTCTGTCCACTCCAACGGCAGTTAAGGTATTGGAAATAGACTGATGGATTCATCACACTTTGGTGAAGGCTTGGATACCCCCTGAGGAAAGTCACAGACCCTGCACTCCACAGCCTGAAGTTCCAGGAGACAACCCTTCATATCCCTGCGAGCCTTTAGAGGATATACATCTGCTTTTCCAACAAGATCCTCAGGGAAGTAACCACTCATGTCTAAGTTGTATCCTGGTATTAACAGGACTATAGCCCTCAACTTTCCTATCTCTCGAACTACAAGTATCCTTTTCATAGTGGGAAGGAAATTTGCCTGTTTCTAGGAAAAATGCTGCTATTTTGTAAACCAAATGATAAGGTCACAAATAATCCTGCCGCTGGAACCCTGGATGTCCTTGGCTCTTGAGCTCTATTGTGGACCTCTAGATCAACCTGCACCCCTGAAAAGCTCCCCTCTGGAGGAAACCTCAACTGTGGGGTCCCTTCTATGCCCCATTTCAGCAGGAAGTAGTTAAAGAGGACCGACGCCCATGTTCTAACAGAAGTTGGACTTTCCTGTTCAGAGGGAGGGAGTGAGGGAAGGTGTGGGCATAGTTTTAAGAGCAAGAATTTCCCAGCGCCATGCCCGCCTCTCATCTCTCTCCATCCGGGAGATTTAATGGTTTATGTTTGAATTTCGAGGGCGCCGGAAGAAGCTAAGAGTCAGTCACTCCAGGGGAAGTTCTAAGGAACTCCTTTCACTGGCCAAGGGTCTTGGAGAAGGTGGGGGTTCCTTCCAGGTTAAAAGTCCCCTTCTTCCACACCCCTTCGACCTCCATGTTCGGGTCCCCTTCCACCAACACTCTGGTGGAAGCCATCTTTCTCTCTCCTGGATTTCCCCTCTGGGGTCCCATTCCACACTCTCTCGTGGAAGCCTGTCTTCCCCTCCTAAACTCCATCTCTCTCTATTCCCTTCCACTCAGTGTGGAAGCTGCTTTCCTCTCCTGGATCCCATCTTTGTGGATGCTCTCACTCAGCATGAGAGTTAGCTGTTTCTTTCTCTCTCCTCCTGTTTCTCCCTCTCTCTAAATAAGTCACTTTCTACAAACACTTTTGAGTTTGGCATTTACTGTGCACTGTGCCATGGTCTCCTCTCTCATTCTTGAGAGGACAGGAGACCAAGAACCTGGAGAAACAGCCTCTCAGGGGAGCTGAGGGCACCCTGAACCCCAATATTGCACTCCTGTGGTCTTTATGCTCTTTGTCAACTTCCTGCACTCCCGTAGGTTCCATCTGTCAAATCTTTAGTAACAGTTAGAAGCACGTGCTCTGGGGACAGAGATAAACCAGGGTACAATCTCTGCTCCACCACTTCTAGCCCACTTACTATCTGGTTGAAATTTGGTGAGGTCTCTAATCTCTCTGGCCCTCAGTTTCATCATCTGCAATAGGACACAACCAACCATAACCTCACAGAGGTATTAAGATTAAATTAGAAAACATATATCACAGAGTTGGCAAATGGCCCCGTTTCTGGCGTATGGTGGGTGCTCAGTAAATGCTGGTTTTACTCATCTCCTTTGCTATAAATTCATTTCAAATATATCCCTGTTGCGGGAGGGAAACATTACACACTGGGGCCTGTCAGGGGTGGGGGTCAGGGGGAGGGAGAGGAATAGGACAAATACCTAATGCATGAGGGGCTTAAAACCCAGATGACAGGATGGTGGGTGGGGCAAAGCACCATGGCACATGTATACATATGTAACAAACCTGCATGTTCTACACGTGTATCCCAGAACTTATATATGTACACTTTTATAAAATATATTTATTTAAGATGAAACATTTTAAAATATATTTTATACTTTATATATATTTTATATACATGAAGATTTTATTATATATATATATATCTTTCTCCCTGTTGTGAGAGGTACTCCTCCATCAGACCTGAGCATCTGGCTGGATATGCCAAGAATGTAAGACCCTGTTGTTCTTACCTGGGCTGTTTCTGCAGCTGTGTTTGCAGACAGCATTGAGAGATAAGACAATGACTTCCCCTGGACCAATATCCGGCCTGCTTCTGCTTGCTGTAAAAGCAGTTCCCTGAGCCCAGTGCTCTTTTCCTCCCATGCAAGGTACTGCATGAGCAGGCAGCTGTTGAAACCTCTCTGTGGCACCCTGTGGATCTGCATGGAGAAATGAGGCAAACCAAGAGCATGCTGCTTGCTATGCCGTGAGTAATGCATCACCCTTCGTCTCTGACCCAGGACTCTCATCTCTCCTGGCAGAATCCATGAAGTATTAATAGGCTAGCTCACCAGCTTGCAAGTAACAAAAACATCCTAAGCACTTCACAAAATCCCAACTCCCAATTCTTCACTTCTCCCTGTATTCACACACTTTGCACTGATTTTCCAGCAACTTCTATTAAGAGACGGGGCCTGCTTTACACCCAATTGAGTCTGCGCTGACCTAAGCCTGGTTGAACTTTGAAACACTGCATAGAGAATGTCCAGAGCCATTGCAGTCTCCTCTCAGTCTCTCAGAACCAAGTGTGTGCCGTGTGAACAGCCGGGTGCCTCCTGGAGGCAGAGAAACACATGGAGAAAAGTCCAGGTGTCACAGCTGAGGCCATCCTAGATCAACCTGAAGCTGTTGAAGCCCCAGGCAAACAAGTGAATAAGCTGAGCCAGGATCAGCAAAGCTGCCCGCCTGACCCACAGCTGCTCATGTACCAAGAGTGATCCCATCCCCCTGCAGAAGAACCAGCCAACTGTCTCACAGACTTGCTAGGTATCATAAACCCTTACTGCTCTAAACCAATGGGTCTTGAGGTGGTTTGTACTCAGCAGTTGCTACTATTCAATCTTTCTTTTTACTCTCTTGAGTTTGAAGGGTTTCTGTGAGAGAAACATGGAAACTCACACCTTCTGAGACCTACTATGTGCCAGAGACATGACTCCATTACATGATCTTACCACCTTTAAGTAGAGATTATTATTCCCATTTTACAGATATGAAAGCCAAGCCCCAGAGAGGAAGAGCATTGGCCCCAAAGCACAACAAAAATTCCAGACCAGATAGCCTGTGGTCTCTCTGCCCCGAGGCTCCAGCTGGACCCAGAGTTGAAGGGACTCACGTGCATGATGTTCACGCTCTTGTTGAAAATCGCCACATAGAGTTTGAGGATGTTGAAGTGGAAGGCGGGCGTCGGCATGTGGTGGTGGCGGCTCCACTTGTTACCAGCACTCAGTAGGAGCCCGTCCCCTACCAGGGCAGCCAAGGTTAGTGGTCAGGGGCAGCCCCCTCCCCTATCCCTAAAGGATATCCCTGGCCCCATTCACCTGCAATTACTCACCCATCCAGGGCTTCAGGAAGCCATAGAAAAGCATATCCTTGGGTGCGTCAGCAGCTGACATGACTGAGAACCATCAAGGGTCAGGGAGAGGGGTGAAAAAAGGACTTTGAGCATGGAGGAATGCTCCAAGCCATGGGTGTGAACTTCCGCCCTCCCCACCCAGCACAGCAGAAAGATGGCGGAGGGAAGGAGAGACGGGACCAGGCTGCAGCAGCAGAGTAGAGCAATAACCCAGCATGCCCCGGCACACCATGACAGGACTCCTGCATGCTCCAGCGTGTTCTCCAACACCTGCGCATAGCTCAGCGCTCTACTGAATGGCTTTACCGGGACCCAGGACACCCTGTCTGCCTCCAGCACGCTCTGCTCTCTTCTGACATGGATCTGGGACCTGGGATGTTGCCCTGACATTTGTTAGCGTTCCCTGATGTGGCCAAAACACACGAGACAAAACATGCTAAAAGACACAACATGCTCTGCCATGGACCTAGATGATCTGATATGACCTAAAAGACACAACATATGCCTAAAAGACACAACATGCTCTGCCATGGACCTGAGATGATCTGATATGACCTAAAAGACACAACATGTGCCTAAAAGAAACAACATGCTCTGCCATGGCCCTGAGATGATCTGATATGACCTCTGTGTACCCCTATGACTGGTCCCAGATAACATTTGAGTATGATGACATTAATACCCTAAACATGGCCCAGGTGTAACCAAGACCAATCTTTAGGCATAATTCACATCTACCCTAAGACCTAAGTCTATTAAGACAAAAATAATATCTCAGACAGTTCTCAAACAGACCCTGGGTCCTAAATCTTGGACAAGGACCAAACGTGGCCAAGACATGGGAAGTGGGATAGAAAGACAATGTCACAGTACATCTCAGAGAAGAACCAAAAATGCTCTGACAGGCCCCAAATGTCCTCAGCCACAGCTGAGGCCCACACATGCTGACTTCTCCATATGATCCCAGGTGGAAGCATATACCAGATACAATCAAGCATAATGTAGAAAGCATAGGCTCTGGAACCCTTGGGGAAAAGGTGGGCTTTCTGTTTGGAACTGGGCTTCTGAGACTCATTGTTGACACCATAAGAAAAGGCAGAGTGACAAAGAGAATGGTAAAACTGAGAGAAAGAGACAGATTCCCAGTGATGTGGATTGATGGACACCTGGATCCAACTATGCCTGAAGACCACTACCCGGACTTTAGAGCCCACTGATTCACTTCATTTGCTTAGACCACATGGGTTTGAGTTTCCATCACTCACAACTGAAAGAGACTTCAGCAGCCAGACAGATCTGAGGACCTGCCCAGAGTCACTCAGCGTTTTGAGGTTAGTCATAGTTTCTGTGGGATGCTGCCCCTGCCCCTGCTTAGCTTGGCCTGTCCAGGGACAAGATGAGCAGAGGGAAAGAAAGGGCCTCGGACTGGGGTGGGATCTCCCATTGGAGGTTCTTGTGGCCTGGAGCAGGAGAGCAATGAATAGGGTGGATGAGGGACAGGATGTGGTAGAAGGAATAAACTCACCAGAGGTGGACATCACATAAATAGCAGCCCATATTCTCCACCAGCCTGAAATCCCCATCGTGCTGTAGGCTTAGGGACAGATGAGGTTGGTGCCAGGCCTGACAGGGGGGCCTGGATACTAATAATCACACTTCCCCTTGCTTTAAAACCTTTTACTCGTTTTTCTAGCAACTCCTCCTCCAGGAAGCCTTCCAGCCTGCCCCAGCAAACACCTTGCTCTCCGGGTTGCCACACCCATCTCCTTCTCTCGACTCCTGACTCCATGAAGTTTGAGATGTCTCTGTCCACATCCATTTCCTCAAGCATGGGGTTTCCTCGAGGACAGGGCCCTAAACTGAGGCTTCTTGGGGCCCCAGTGGTGCCCAGAACACAAAGACAGGGACAGATGGCAGTGGAGGGAGGAGACGCTGAGATGGGGCTTGGTGAATACATGAAGGAAAGAGGAACATGGCTGAGAGACAAGCAGGAAGAGGGGCCTGGGTCCCACAGGGGCCACACCGAAGCTTGGAGGGGGAGAGGCTAGAAGGCCTCCCATGTTTCCCAGCGCCCACCACAAGCTCTGCATGGGTACCTGAGGCACTGGTGATAGCCTGGGCGGTGTCAGGGTGGCATAAAGTGAGGAGGGGGAAGGTAGGACCCAGCCACAACTTAAAGCCCTGGGCATAGGTGGTCACCAGCTGGATGAGCTTCTTCACGCCCTCTTCTGTGGGAGGGGCCTGAAAGCAAGGCAGAGGCCGTCAGCCCTTGTGATGGTTAATTCTAGGTGTCCTGAATTAACCATGAATTCCACATGACTGAGCTAAGGGATGCCAGATGAAACATGCTGGCAAAACGTTATTCCTGGATGCGTCTGTCAGTGTATTTCCAGAAGAGATTATCATTTGAATAGGTAAACTGAGGAAGGAAGATCATCTCCCCAAGGGGGGCGGGTGTCCTCCAATCCTTCGATGGTGCAGATACAAGAAAGAGGCAGAGGAAAGGGTGAATTTGTGCTCTCTTCCGGAGCTGGCTCATCCATCCATTCCCGTCCTTGGACATGAGAACTCCAGGTTCTAGGCCTTTTTGGACTCAGGCTGAATTTACACCACCAGAGTCCCTGGTTTCTGGCTTGCAGATGGTATATCATGGGAATTCTTACCCTCTATCATCACATTTTCCAACTCCCATAATAAGCTTACTCCCTCCCTCTCTCTCTCCCTCCCATATATGCTTGAGAGGTAGCAGAGAAGATATCCTGTCGATTCGGTTTCTAGGGAGAACCTCAGCTAATGCATCTCCCCAGAGGAGCCACGGCAAGTTCCCC